TGAGGTGCAGTTCCACTGTTGTCTCCATTTTTCAGAGGAGAAACAGGGGACTTTGCCCCTTGCCTGGGGTCTCACATATACTAAGTAGCAAAGCTGGAATTCAAATTGCAATCTGACCCCAGAGCCTGTGCTCTTAACCATGAGATAATATCAACTTTGGCTGATAATATTCCCCATTCTGTCCAGCCACAAGCAATCAGAGTGTTCCTCCTAACACCTAACTAAATGTCACTCACTGGCCAGAAGTTCCCATCTTCTGGAGAGAGATTAGCTCCCTTCCCTTGAAAGGGCAGTAGGCATGTCTAGCCCAGAGGGAGAGGAATGGCCGGCATAGCCTTTGGGGGTTGCCACTGGGCAGAGGGATGAGAGAGTGTCTATAGACTTTTCCACCCTGGGATATTCTTCTTCCAAGCTCTGCCAGCCCCTCCTCTCTGCCCTAAAATTCTGGGGATACTTTACTCCTTTCCTGTTCTCTATCTTGGGTTGCCCATCCCCCAGGGCTGCCCACCACCCCTTTTCTGCCAGACCCTGCCCTTGCCCAACCATCCCCTTCTCTCCCAGACACCAGTGACTTTCTTCGATGCCACACCCTCTGGCCGGGTCCTAAACCGCTTCTCCTCTGACGTGGCCTGTGTGGATGACAGCCTGCCCTTCATCCTCAACATCCTCCTGGCCAACACGGCAGGCCTGCTGGGCCTCCTGGCTGTGCTGGGCTCTGGCCTGCCCTGGCTGCTGCTGTTGCTGCCGCCTTTGAGTGTCATCTACTATCGCGTGCAGCGCCACTACAGGGCCTCCTCTCGGGAGCTGCGGCGCCTGGGCAGCCTCACCCTGTCTCCACTCTACACCCACTTGGCTGACACCTTGGCCGGCCTCCCTGTGCTCCGGGCCACCGGGGCCACCTACAGGTGTGCGAAGTCTGCCCCTCCCAGCCAGAGCCCAGGGGGATGAGTTGCTGGCGAGAGGGGAGAAGAGGGCCCCCCCCCAGAAGAAGGCCATGTGGGGTACAGGGTTCAAGCCTCCTGGGGGAGAAGGGCAGAGTGGGTGAGGGCACCAGGGGAAAGAGGAGAACAACAGAAAAAGAGATAGTGAGGCAGAGCTGACCCCGTTCGAAAGAGCACGTTGGCATCCCTGTATCCCTGAGTGAGGCCTGTGGGTGTAGAGATCAGCTCCCAAGAGGGAGGTGTTCTTTAGGGAAGGAGTCTGGGTGGAGCAGCCTCACCTCCCTCCTGGCCTCTCGCAGGTTTGAGGAAGAGAACCAGCGACTCCTGGAGCTAAACCAGAGGTGCCAGTTTGCTGCCAGTGCTGCGATACAGTGGCTGGACATTCGGCTACAGCTCATTGGGGCGGCAGTGGTCAGTGCCATCGCGGGCATCGCCCTGGTGCAGCACCAGCAGGGCCTCGCCAACCCAGGTGCCACCCCAGGACCCTTCACCCCTACCTCACGAGCGAATTATTCCAACCCTGCCCCAGACCTTTCCCTGTACCGTTTCCCCAATAGTTCCTCCTAACCAAGGTTCCCTATGAGGATGTAGCATAGTAACCGTCATCACCTTCAGTTTAGGGTGGAGGAGACAGTCTCCAGGAGTGACTTGCCAGGTGGTGGTGGCTCTGGGACCAGAATGAGCCATCTGAGCTTCTGGTCTCAGTCCCTTCCCTGCTCCTACCCCCATCCTCACCATCCTGCCCCAGCCCACTTTAGTCTTCCACCTGCCCTCCCTCTGAGCTTCTCCAGGCCCACTCTACTGCCTTGCATCAGCCTCCTGCACTCCTGGCCTAGGTCCTGTCCCCTTCCTGCTTCTCTGCTGCCTCCTTTAAATGCCCACAGTCCACAGCTTGATTCTTTGCTGTCCTGCCCCTACCTCCCACACATGTCCCAGCATCCAGGCTCCCCCAGCAGCTGGTGCTTCTCTCCCCCAGGACTGGTTGGCCTGTCGCTGTCTTATGCCCTATCCCTGACAGGCCTGCTCTCAGGCCTGGTGAGCAGTTTCACGCAGACGGAAGCCATGCTGGTGAGCGTCGAGCGGCTGGAGGAGTACTCCTGCAACCTGCCCCAGGAGCCCGGGGGCCAGCCGCTGCAGGTGAGTTCCGCCCGGGCCAGAACCCTGAATGGCCCTCCTGAAGGCCCCAGTCTCTCCCTGGTTCCTCTCTTTTTGCTTCTCACTCATCTTTCTCAGCTCCTTTAGCCTCCCTGCATGGTTACGAACATTCTTCACCGTGCCCTTTCCTCCCCATCTCTCCTCATTCTCCCACCTTTTCTCCCATGCTGTCCATTTCTCTTTCTCCCCTCCTCACCATCACTCCTCATCTCACTCATCTCCCTCTGTCTTCTATCTGTGGACCCTACCAGCTGCGCACCGGCTGGCTGACCCAGGGGAGCGTGGAGTTCCAGGATGTGGTGCTGGTGTACCGGCCAGGCCTGCCCAATGCCCTGGATGGGGTGACCTTCCGTGTGCAGCCTGGAGAGAAGCTGGGCATCGTGGGCCGCACGGGCTCCGGCAAGTCTTCCCTGCTGTTGGTGCTCTTCCGGCTGCTGGAGCCCAGTTCGGGGCGAGTGCTGCTGGATGGTGTGGACACCAGCCAGCTGGAGCTGGCTGAGCTCAGGTCTGGGGGAGGAAGTTGGGGGTGAGGGAAGAGGGGAACCAGAACTACCAGGACTTGAAGGAGGACACAGCTAAAAGGCTTTATGTAGACTCAGGGCAGCCAGGGCTGACCAGCAGCTGAGATGGGAGATAGGACGAGCAGGTAGGATAGAAAACTCTTAGTGCTCAGGTTCAGAGTCTCAGCTGGTGCTCTCAAGGTCTTCCTCACCCTGACCCAGACCACCTTTCCAGCTTCCTCTTTCTTGTACTTATCGGTGTCCACCCTCCACTCTAGGGCACTAGTCGCTGCCTTCCAAACCAGAGTCCGCCAGGTAGCGTGCCTCTAGATACTGATCCCCTCAGCCCTCAGGCTCAGCAGGCAGTGCGTGGGATTGCTTGAGACTGGGCCACTTGCCCCTGGTCACAAGTGGCCTCATCTGGGGCTATACATCTCCCACTCCTACCCCCAAGTTAACCTAGTATCATTTTCTCTGAGTTCCACGACATGGAAAAGGTAGGAAAGCTGGGTCCTAAAGCCCTGGGCACATGACTGACCCCAGCGCCTGACCCTGCCTCCTCTGCCTTCTATTCTAAGCTGTGGTGGCCTTACCTTACAGCTTGACCATATAGCTCCTCAGGACCCAGTTCCAGGGCCACTCGAACCTTGAAGTGTCCCATATCCATTCAGCCATCCAGTCATTCCCTGCTTAGCCCCTGCTGCCCCTGGAGTCAGTGCCACACAGTTTAGCCCATTTGTTTTTGCTGGTGTTTTGTACCTCAGTGAGATGTAGGCTGCTTAGGGACAGAGTGTAGACCCTTGGTTTCTTTGGTATTGCTCCTCATAGCACCAGCCCAGTTCTAGGTGCACAGATGACTGACTGGTCGTGTGGGGATGGGGTGGGGAGCAGAAGGGGTTATGTTCAGGTCTTATCCCCAGGCTGTCCTGGAGGTGCTAGTCCTATAGCTAAAAAATGTAGGAGCAGAAGTGGCCACATCTCCAGCCTGGACCCCATGTCATTGTCCCCCAGATCCCAGCTGGCTATCATCCCCCAGGAGCCCTTTCTGTTCAGTGGAACTGTTCGGGAAAACCTGGACCCCCAGGGCCTACATGAGGACAGGGCCTTGTGGCAGGCCCTGGAGCAGTGCCACCTGAGTGAGGTGATTGTATCCATGGGTGAGTGCTGGGCCCTGACCCTGGAGCAGGGAGGGAGCAGGAAGAGGCCTGGACCCTGCAGTGAGGATGCTGTCCTTGCAGGTGGTCTGGATGCTGAGCTAGGCGAGGGGGGCCGGAGCTTGTCCCTGGGGCAGAGGCAGCTGCTGTGTCTGGCCAGGGCTCTCCTCACCGATGCCAAGGTAAGAAGAAAGGAAGGGACATTCAAGAGGGCTAGGAAGGAGGCAGGGGACTTATCAGGGTTAGAAGGTGGGTTGGAGAGAGGCTTCAGGGGACCAAGTTGGGTTTCCTTTCAGAGCTTGCGGTGGGGAGCTGTAGGGGGGGCCTGGTGTTTGGGCCCAGCCCAGCCTACCCTACAGCCTCTCCTCCCCACTCTTCCCCTACACCCTTCCCACCTTCCAGATCCTGTGTATTGACGAGGCCACAGCAAGCGTGGACCAGAAGACAGACCAGCTGCTCCAGCAGACCATCTGCAAACGCTTTGCCAACAAGACAGTGCTGACCATTGCCCACAGGTGTGCAGGTGTTCAGAGTGACTGTCTAATCAGGGACTGCAATGGCATAGACCCAGAGCCTCAGTTCCTTTCAGGGACACTGGGAGTCAGGGCCCTAGAGATCACCCCCCACCAAACCTCAGCTCCTCCTCCAGGCACTACCAGCCCTTTATAGCACTTCATCTAAGGGAACCCTGCAGTCCTTCCCCGGCCCAGAGCCAGGGGCTAAAGCCTGTGGGACAGACCTGTGCTGTCCTGGGGGAAGAGGAGGGAAAGCAGGTCAGCATTCTCCCTTAGGGCATTGTCCCCCATGCCCCCACACTCACCATCTCTTCTCCCACACAGGCTCAACACGATCCTGAACTCAGACCGAGTGCTGGTGCTACAGATGGGGAGGGTTGTGGAGCTGGACTCCCCTGCTGCGCTGCGCAAGCAGCCCCACTCACTGTTCCAGCAGCTGCTGCAGAGCAGCCAGCAGGGAGCCCGGCCCTTGCCCTGAGGGCCTGAGCCTGATCCCCCACCCTCCAGGGTTCTCCCCTCCACCACTGGCTGGACAGAGGTACAGAGGTGCGGGCTGCTCGTTTACATTCTCCTCTGTGGCTCTCCCTCACTTCCCCAGGGGGGAAACGGGCACCCTGGGTTACTCTTTGGAAGCATCCTTGGTGGGCAGAGTCCCGAGGCTTCTGCAGAACAGGCTACACTCCGGCCCTCTTGCGTCTGGGACTCCAAGTGGGTTTTTCTGACATAGGAGCCCACTTGCATTTTCATAGTTTTATTTGATAAAATTCCCATCTTACATTCTGTATATTAAAAAAATAATATTTCTGGTGCGAGGCTGAGGTCCCCTCAGTGTGTGTACCAGGCTGAGGGGTGGTAGGAAAGGACCACTCCAGTTTGAGGGGTGGGGAGGCGAGGAAGGGGGCGGGAAAGCCCCCACCTCCGTCACAGTGCTGTGGTCTTTCCAGGCTCAGGCGGCAGGTCAGGTGGCAGGGGGAGCCCTGCTGGCAGCATGCTAACCTGACACTCCTGGTCCTGGCACGCCGGGGCGTAGTGTGGGGCAGGGTAGCAACAGAGTCCGGGGGGGCAGACACCCCGGCGCCACGCCCTCAGAGTCAGCAACATGGTGGCCAGGACCAGGGCAGCAGTGAGGGCCCCAAACACCACCAGGGCCACCAGGCTGGGCTCACCGAGCCCGGCTTCTTGCCTCCGCACTACCTCCTTCACTGAGATGCGCAGCAGACCGGCCCCCGCACTGTGGGGGGCTGGCTTCGTGGCAGGTACCACCACAGCTGAGGTGGGCGCTAGGGGGATGTTCACTGTGGTGGCAAGATCTGGGGCGGGTAGAACAAGCTCACAAGTCTTGCCACCATAGCCACTGGGGCAGAGACAGTCAAAGTCGTGGACACGGTCCCGACAGCGGGCCCCTCTCTGGCATGGGCGGCTGGCACAGTCATCCAGGTTGATGGTGCAAAAGCGTCCAGCAAAGCCCACTGGGCAGAGGCAGGAGAAGCGGTTTATGCCATCGAGGCAGGTGGCACCATTAGCACAAGGCCGCATCAGGCAGTCATCGACATTCACCTCACAGCGGGCACCCACAAAGCCTGCCAGGCAGCGGCACGTGAAGTTGAGGGCAAAGCCCTGGTCATCCTGGCACTGCCCGCCATTCCGGCATGGGGAGCTGGATAGGGCAGGAAAGGACATTGATACAAACTTAGTGACATCTGCAGAGTAGCTCAGGTCAGCATCCTGACCACTGCCCCTCCCCTCTTCTAGCTATGTCACCTCAGGCCACTCTCTGAGCCTCAAATACTTCATTTTAAAAATGAGAATAAAAATAGTACGAAGCTTCCCAAATTGTGTGGGTTAAATGAGATAATCCAATGTCAAGCAACTAGCACAGGGCCTGGCCCAAAGGCAGACTCAGGATAAGTGTGCTATTATTATCCTCACAGGCTCACAGGCCTGAATCGGAAATGAGGACAAGTCCAGCCCTGCAGGGCCATTTCCTCATCCATATGATGAGGCATAAGCCTGCTGTGTGGAACATCTTTAGGGGTACATGCCGGTGTTGAGGAGGATGAGGGGAGTCCTAGGCCCCTCAATCTCCCCACACCCACTCTCCTAACCAGAGCAAACATTTGAGCAACTCCTATAGATTATTGTTGTTGAAGAAATGGTTCAGAAAGTGTAAAAACAGTTGAGAAACCCTTCACTAGGGACACTGTGGCATGCTGAGGTCTTATCCTAGGTACCTCCATGTGCATCCGACCCTCACTCCTATACCCTCTCGACAGTCCTGCCTCTCTCCTCATCTGGTCACTAGATTCTGGTCTAGCCTCCTACTCACCCCACAGGCCCAGCACTCACCCCGCCTGTTCACAGGGTCCGGCCTTGCGCTCGCAGTCATGCCCATGGAAGCCTGGTAGGCACACACAGTGGTACTCACCGCCCCCGTCATAGATGCACTGGCCTCCATTCCGGCAGGGGGACTGTGTGGTACAGATGTGCTCATCTGGAGAAAAGACAGGGAAGACTCCCTCACTTCTGGTCCCTAGAACTCCCAGACCCAAGGGTCTGTGGGTGTGCGTTACTACGAACCCACCCCAGGCTGGAATGGTGGGGGGACAGGACAACACTGAATTCAGGGTCAGGGGACTCCTGGCCCTGCCCCTGCCACTGCCAGTCTGCTTCAGGCTGACTTTGGGCAAGTTGTAGCTCTTCTATGGGTCTCAGTTTCCTCATCTATAAAACAAGTACAGTTTTTAGTTTTACTTTCCTACCTCATGGGGTTACGTTAAGGCAGCAGTCCCCAACCTTTTTGGCATTAGGGACTGGTTTCATGAAAGACAATTTTTCCATGGGTGGGGGTAGGCGGAGCTCAGGCAGTGACAGTGAACGATGGGGAAAAGCTGTAAATACACCACTCACCTCCTGCTGTGTGCCCCTGCCCCCTGCCTCCCACCCCACCCCCATTCCAAAGTTTCATGGAAGACAATTTTTCTACAGATGGGGTGTGGTGGGTCGCAGAGCTCTGTGGCCTAGTCCATAACAGGCCACGGACTGGTACTGGTTCACAGCTCGGTGCTTGGGATCACAGTGTTAAGGATCAATTGAGACAACAGATAGGTATAAAATCAAAAAGGAGGCCAGGCACAGTGGCTCACGCCTGTAATCCCAGCACTTTGGGAGGCTAAGGTAGAAGGATTGCTTGAGGCCAGAAGTTTAAGACCAGCCTAGTGAGACCCTATCTCTACAAAAAATTTAAAAAATTAAGCCAGTATGGTAGTGTGTGCCTGTAGTCCCAGCTGCTCAGGAGACTGAGGAGGGAAGTTGGCTTGAACCCAGGAGTTCGAGGCTGCAGTGAGCTATGATCATGTCATTGTACTCCAACCTGGGCAACAGAGCAAGACTCTATTTCTAAATGAAAATAAATTAATAAATAAATAAGGAGAAAATACCATGCTTTTGAGGGTTTGACCAAGACACAATAGGTACTCAATAAATACTGATAGATGTTCTCCCAAGATACATTCAAGGGGTCCCCAGCCAACAGCTACCCCTTCTCCCCGGTACCTTTGTCACAGAACTTTCCAGCCCAACCACTGTGGCAGATGCACTGCCAGGGCTGGTGGCAGGTACCATGCTGGCAGCCAGGCATCCTCACACAGCGCTCACAGTGGAGGCCCTCCCAGCCTGGGTCACACCTGGCGGAAAGAAGCACAGGGTCAGGGCTCTGGGTGGGACAATGTGAGGAAATGGAGGCAGCAGGACCAGGGCTTCTAGAAACCAGGAGGACATATGACACCCCCCAAGGGAAAGCAGACCTGCCCCAGGTAGGTGTAGGGCTGTGCAGGATCATAGGACACATGTATGAAATCAGACCATCAGATATCATCCCTCAAGTCCTGGTTTTGTACTTTGTGTAACCTTCCTGAGACTCAAATTTCTCGTCTGCAAATTGTGGGTACCTCTCACAGGGGTATGTTGAGGAGGAAAGATAATGTCTGCAAATGCCTCCAATACCACTCCTGGCATGTATGAGGTGCTCATAAACATTTTTTAAAAAATGACCTTGAAAGGTTATAAGGACTATTCTAGGGCAAACACCTGACGTTTTTTTTTTTAAGCCCTCCAAGGTTACACCAAAACAAAATTTTAAAGAGTGTAAATAAATAAATAAAGCCCTCCAAGGATGTAGAGTCTCAAAGACGCCACAGCCAATTGAGCAACCAGCCGTCAGCTCATTTCCTTATGTCCAGACACTTTGCTCCTGCTGTAGAATTTGCCCAACCTCCACCCAGTGAGTCCATTACTCAAATTCGTAAGAAAGATCCTCTTTCATCACGAGTGCTTCTCCCCAGCAACTTTCCCTGCAGCGTTTCTTCTCCAGGCTAAGCTAAACCATTTCTTCTCTTTATCTCTTTCCTTTCTCTCCCCCTTTCCTCAGGGTGCCCAATCTCCAAACTCTCTAAGCTTCAAGTCTCCCTCCTGGTATCTGGAGGAGCTATGTTTCACAATCCCTGCATCAGACTTGGGAGAGTAAAAAAGTGGGAAGATACAAGCTAGAAGAAGCAAGAGGCCAGGCCAAGGGGAATGGGGGTTGGGGGGCATGTGGGGAGGTGGGGGAGGCTGGCCCATCTGCCATAGAGGTGATGGGGCATGAACAGTAGGGTCTTAAGCCCCTGAAACTCTGTTCTGGGGCTTGACCTGGTTGTGAGTGTGAAGGACTGGGAAAATAGGAGCAAAGGGTCTGGGGGCACGTGGTCAGGATAGGTACCTGCAGGAGCCATCAGGTGCACAGCAGCCGTGGGCCAGGTCACAGTGGGAGCTGCAGTCATCGGCTGCAACAGATTGATGTGGGAGGGGTGAGTCTGGGTCAGGGTAAGGCTCCCTGGGATGCGGGACTCAAGAGAGGATTGGGGTTCCAGTAACTGGGTGGACCTTGCTCTGAGGCAGGGCAAGATAGATAAAATAGACCCATCCCATTCCAAAGGGCGACCTGCGTCTTGCCAGCCCCGCGGGTCGGAGCGACTGCAGTGCCGTCTCTGGCCGGCAGAGGTCAACGTGCAAGCGATGGCTGCTGGACAGGGCCGCGACTGGAGCCCGGGGGCGCGCTCACCTCGGACACGCTGACCGGGTGCCCCCAGGATGCACAACAGGCACACGAGATGTAGGCAGCGGCAGCCGCTGGGCATGGTCAGCGCCGGCCCCAGGAGGGACGGACGGATGGACAGCCAGACGTGTGGGCACCTGTGGGACAGCACGGGCGGGGAGGCGGCCAGGAGCGGAGATAGCGGCACGGATACGGGTTCCAACTGACAGGAGCTACGAGGGAGAGGGGCGCTGGGACCGCAGAAGCGGGTGGGGGCAGCGAGAGGGCAGGGGCGGGGAAGGGTAGAGCAGGCGAGGAGACTGGAGACAGGAACGGGAGCGGGGTCTGCGACCAGGAGGCGAAGGATGGGCAGCGCGAAGCGAGGCTAGGGAGCGGGAATGGCTGGGGCGGATCGCAGTCGGGACACAGGGGTCCGCGGGGATGGGGACAGCGCGAGAGGAGGCCTCGAGCACGGAGAGGACGCGGGGGCCGGAGGGAGGGACGGTTCCAGGCAGCGAGCAGTCTCCGCCCCCCACCTTCGACACCCCCGTCGCTCCCACGTCCCCTTCCTATCTCCGCCGCATTCAGCCCGGCGGCGGCGCAGGGCCTGGAATCCCCACGGTGCCCCCAGCCCCGCGCGCCCCTGTCCTCCCGGTCCTCACCTCCGGCTGGGAGGCGGCGCGCCCCGGGGCGCAGAGCGAGGCCGGATCCGACGGGCTCCGCCGAGGGGCCGGGCGGGGGCGCGGGCCGCCCCTAGCTGGCCGCGGGGCTGGGCGCCGAGGCGGCTGCCATGCGAGCCGAGCGCTCGGGAATCTGGGGCTCCAGGCGACCCCGAGCGGCGGCGGCGGCTCCTCGCGCGCGTCCAGGCCCCCTGCCAGGGGCGGCGTGTGCGGGCGGAGCCCGCGCCTCCCGCCGCCGGCCCGCCCCCCGCCGGCCGCGCCCGGCGCCACCCCACCCCCTGCGACGCACGGCGCACACCTAGCGCGCTGCACCTAACCTCCCCGCACCGAGCTTTCTTCAAAGAAAGGAGGAAATTGTGGGAGCAAACTACAAAGTGCCGGCCAAAGACGCACGGTCCTGTTATTCTCGCGTCTCACATCCCGGCTCTCCGGACCCGAGCCCCTCGCCCCTCGCCCCGTGCGCCACCTCTGCTCTCACCAGCCCGCCGCCCATCACGCTTCTCATATATATCCCTTGCACACTTAGGGCACACTTGCTCCCCGCCCTCCTCCTGTCACCAGCCCACGCCTACCCCGCTTGTAAAGCCTTCATCGCTTGCTTTATTTGTCTGCTCTTCTCCGCCTCCTTGCCCTCCGCTGCTTTTATCTCCTCGTTGCCTGTATCTGCAGCCTTCCAGGATCGACCCCTCCCTATCCAACACCAACCTGGGCCACCCCTCTTCCTTCCCTCTGTCCGGCTTGGTGACCACCCCCGGAAGTCTCCCTGGACTGGGAATGCCCCTGACTCTCTAAGTGTGCCCCTCAAGGTCCCTCCTCTTTACCCCCTCACATCCGTTCTCGTCCTCAGGCTAATCTTCAACTGCCCAAACCCGGAGCTCAGACTGAGTGATATAGAGGGCTGGGGGGAGACTGCCCCTCCAAGCCACTTTGCTCTTCCTGGCTAATGGCTCGGAGCCACCTGTGCAAGGCAGGGACCTGAAACTTAGTTTCTAGTTTTCCCAGGGCAAGAGGGCAGTGGTCAGGAGCGCTAGTGCCCATCTCTAGTCCTTCGGCTCAAGATTTCACCGTCTTTAAGTTCAAAACGTTGGAAGGAGTTCCTAGCCCGTGCAGAGCACCTTCTCGCAGACACCTCCACAGGGACTGAGCCCCTGAACTGATTTCTCCTGCAGTCTCTGTCGGGTATAACGCCCACACCCACCCCAGCTCTCTAGCTGCCTTCCTCTCAACTCTGATCTTCCTTGAAAAGTGTTCTGAATTTGAGTAATGACATGACTACTATTTATTTTTAAATTTGCAAACGACCTATAATGTCAAAAATTACCGTAGGCAAATAGATTATGGTATGTCAGCCACTGTGTTAAAAGTCACTGTTTTGAAGTCTAAAGATGTCAAAAAAAAAAGCTAAGAATACGTCAAGAAGGGGGAAAGCAAGAAACAAAGCAGAACCTACTTCACTATTGGCAATGGTTTTCTCTGGATAATGGAATCATAGGGCTTTTTTTTTCCTTATTGATACTTTTCAGCATTTCCACAATAAACTTTCCAATTTTCCACAATAAAATTTCCAATTTTTTCCCACAATAAACATGTACAACTTTTTGAAGAATAATGTAAAAAGAAAAAAATCACCCATGATCCTACTAGCTTGATAAAACTACTCTTATTGTTTTTGACCCCTTTTCCTAACCAGATACTTTTACACAGACATAATCATAATGTGCTAATGTGCATACAATGTTGTATCCTGCTTTTTTTTTATTCCATGTCATATGATGATAGTCCTCAAAAGCATAATTTTCAATGGTTATGTGATATTCCATTAAATAGATACTATAATTTATACTATAATTTATTTAACCTAGTCTTCATTGTTGACTACTTAGGCTCTGTTTACTTTTTTGTCCTTATAAATTCATTCAACAAATATTTATTGAGCGCGTATATGCTACTGCTGGGTCCCAGACATCATCCTAGGCACTGGGGATATGACTCCCCGATAAATAGCAGTGCCATAAATTTTCACACATGTAGTTTTTTGCATGTTTTAGGCTCCTTCCTTAGGATAGAGTATGAATTGATGAGTGACTGAGTCAAAGAAGTCATAAAAAATGAAAAACTCCTTTTTATTGATGAAATGTATTGAAATTCACTAACGAAACAATAAAGATATTTGTAAGAAAGTCATAGATACCTAGACAGAAAAAAAAAGATATTTGAAGCTTTTGAAATTGATAACATCAGATGATATCACTTATGAACTCCTCATGCTTCGAAGATTTTAGCATCAGGCTTGTCAATCTCTTCACTCCCACTTCTGTCAAATTCTTGGTGATTCTTGATGATTCAGTATGACATAGATAATTCTTCCAATAAGCATGATAGATTACTTGCAAAGATGGACACTACACTTCTTCCTGTCCCACATGACCCTTGGTAATGATTTTGCTGTTCCTCTCAGCAAGAGGTAGAATCTATTTCTCAACACCTTGTAACGGGGCTGGCCTTATGATTTGCATTGACTAATATAATGTGGTAGAAATGACATTGTGTGAATTGTTAGAGTCTAGGTCTCAAGAGACTTGCAGCTTGCTCCTTTGCCTTCTAAGAACACTTCTGACATCATGTGAAGAAGTCTAGTCTAGGCTTCTGGAAGATGAAAAGCCCCATGGAGGAGAACTAAGGCATTCTGGCTAACAACCTCTAAACATGTCAAACTTCCAGATCACTGCAGCCACATGAATGGATCTAGGCAAGACCTAGATCCATTCATGATCTAGATCCATTCATGATCAAGAACTGCTCAGCAGAGCCCAGCCCATATTGCCAAACTATAAGCAGATAAATGGTGGCTGTTTTAAGTCACAGAATTTTGGGATGTGTTATTAATATGGCAGTAGATAGCTGATAAAATCAGCTTCCCATTTCCTTGATTTCTTCTTCACCAATGAGAAGCACAATCCCACCCTAGACCTTGTTGCTACCAATAGCTTCACATACTCCATAATCTCAATTTTAAATATCGTACTTTTCTTTTACCAACTCGTATCTTTTCAGCTATGCCCTCAAGTAACTTGGCACAAACAATTCTACTATTCCACTGGGATCTCTCATAAGGGCCACGTTACAACTTTCATAGACTCTAAACACTTCACTTTCATGGGCCCCTTCCTTTATAAGAGAATATTAAAAATTATATCATATAACTGCATTGGCATAAAGACTAATATAATCCAGGCTGGATACTCATTTTTTCTTCTGATTATTTATTTATTTACTTTGAGACAGAGTCTCACTCTGTTGCCCGGGCTAGAGTGCTGTGGTGTCAGTTTAGCTCACAGCAACCTCAAACTCCTGGGCTCAAGTGATCCTTCTGCCTCAGCCTCCCAAGTAGCTGGGACTACAGGCATGTGCCACCATGCCCAGCTAATATTTTCTATTTTTAATAGAGATGGGGATTTGCTCTTGCTCAGGCTGGTCTCAAACTCCTGACCCTTCCTTATTTGGCTTTGATTCCATGATCCCTCATTATAATCAATGCCTTGCGTATACATTCAACTCCCTGGCCCCTCTTTCCTATCATATTTTTCTGGCAAAACCTCACTGCTGTGACTTCTACAGCCTTCACCCAAGTAGGTGAACATGGCTGGAGAAAACACACCTCCAGGCTGCCTGGTCTCACTTGAATTCATGACCCTCAAATGCTTTTTGTGTTGGCCACCAATGCTGTTGCATTTCCTTGGTTCTGTACACTCTCCCTCCCACCCTGACAACTATTTTATTCTCTTCTCTCCTCCAACTTCCACCCCCTCCTTTTTTTTTTTTTTATTGCTCATTCTGCTGATAGTCTTGCTTTCAACTTCATGGAGAAAATAGAAACAATTTGGGAGAATTTCCACATGCCTGCCCCGCCTACATGCATGTATCTCTATATAGTCTTTCATGCCTCCTGTTACCATAGATGAACTGCCTATGTTCTTACCTAGGTGAACCCCTCCACCTGGGCACTAGTTCCACTAGTTCCCATCCCTTCTCACCTGTGCAACTACAGGGCTCTGCCAATTCTCTCCATCTCTTCTGCTTCTTCAATTTGCTTGTCTCTATGGGATCATTGTCATCAACCTCTTTCCCATCTTAAAGAAATGGCCTTCCTCAACCCCATTTTCTCTTCTAGCTACATTTTTCTTCTCCTCTTTACTGAAAACTCTTCAAAAATACTAGTGTAGCCTTGATGTCATCACCTCCTCTCATTTTCTCTTGCACCCACTCTCACCCCAGCACTCCAGAATTACTCTTGTAAACCTCACCAATGCCCTCACCATTGCCAAATCCAACAATTAGTTCTCAGTCCTTGTCCCACTGGCTCTGCTAACTGCACTTTCCACAGTTGTTTACTGGGCTCACCCACACTGGCCTCTCTACCTACTGCAATGACCACCCCTCCTTAGTCTCCTTTGCTTCCTCCTTGTCTTCCCAACTTCTCCCACAGTTCCAAGACTCAATCCTCAGACCTCTTCTCTTTTCTACCTTCACTCACTTTCTTCATGTTCTCATCTAGCATAATGGCTTTGAATACTAATTACAAGCTAATGACTCCCAAATTTATGTTTCCAGCCAGCGCCAGCTTTCTCCCTATAATCCAGACTCATGGGTCTTACAACCTACTGATATTTCCACTTAGATGTTCAATAGGCAGCTCCAACTTAGCATGTCCACGTGTAAACTCCTGATGTCCAGCCTCCCTTGTCAGTCTCACCCATCCCAGTCAATAGCTGTTCCATCTGTCTAGTTGTTTAGGTCAAAATCCTTGAAGTCATGCTTGACTCCCCTCCTTCTCTTGCAATCCAATCCTGCAAATCCTGTTGGCTCTGCCTTCAGATTCTTCCAGAATTTGACCACTTTTCGCAATCTTACCTTCAACACCCCACCCTACCTAGTGCAAGCCACCATTATCTTTTGCCTGGACTACTGTGACAGCTCCCTAATTGGTCTGTTATTGTGCAGCAGCCAAGGTGATCCTGATAAAATAGAAGCCAGCTAAATGTGAAGTGGTATCTCAAGTTGAATCCTG